GTTCCTCTCTCAACCACAGTGCAATCATGCAGTGCATTGAAAAACACACACCTCAAATATAAGGGCAGCAAACTGAATTGCATAAAAATACATAAAGACATATATTAATGTGAACAAATAAAACAATATTAACATTAAATATTATTATTAAAACAAATTATCGCTCAGATATCACCTCTAAAGGCGGAAAATGGCTGGTTCAACATTCCCTGCCTGTGATGTTGAGACAGAATTGCCATGTGGGATTTTTTTTTATTCTTCCACCTTTTGAGAACCTGTTGACAAATGATCAATCACCCTGTTCACTTGGTGTACCCGTGCATTTCCGCGACAGAGACTCTCTGCGCTTTGCTTTTTAGCCACATGTAGCTATAAACTATAAATATACTGGTAGTTGAACATAACTTTAAAACACAATGTTCCTGTAGATAATATTGTCTTTTACGGGCTTCCTTTACAACTCAGAATCTAAAGATAAAGAAATCATCACCCATTCCATTTCAGTGCCGTTTTTACAGCCCAGTGACACAGGAAGAAAAAAAAAAGCAGAAAAGTGGGCGCTTTTATGAGCAGTGTGAAAGGGGCTTCTGTGAGAGCGACGATGGTACCTCCAAAGTTAACAATTGACAGAGCGTCTTCATTCTCCTATTCCTATCCAGTGTCCTTGATATAGCGTCAAGCTTTTACAAGTCATGTGGAAGGTGCTTCTCTTACAGCTTTGATACTACCGCCGAAGGCGAAAAATCGCAGAGGCGTGTCGCTACCGTTCATACACAGCAGCATCATGAATAAAGACAGTAAAATGCTATGACTTTTACAACGAGCATGCTCGGCAGCTCTGTCATTATCGGTGACCTTTTCTTTCACATTCAGACAAGACAAAAAGCCAAGCAGACTTACCAGACCAGCTATTGGTGTTGGCAGCCTGTTGACTCTCTTGATGATGCCAGGCTTGATCTTGTTGATCAGACTGGAGGAGAGAGAACAACACACACATCTGTTAGTTTGCTCTAAGTTACAGCGAATGAACAAAAAAAAGCTTTGCGAATCCCTGCTGTGTTTAATGGCGGCCACCTGGATGTGGTTTAGTCAGTGGCAGTTCTGCAACACCATGTAAACAAGCTGGACTCTCCACACGGCACTAGTAAGATAAAGACTCGTAGAATAATTCCTTTTGGAGCTTTTTCATGTTTTACTATATCGCATGAGATTTCAGCAAATCTTGTGAGACTTTAGCTAAAAGTAAAAATGCCATGACACACTCAGTAGACCGCCGCCAAGGCTTAATCATGATTCCAGACAGTTTGTTTTTTTTTTGTTTTTGTTTTCAGCACAGTGAGCATCTAAAACTGGGATGTGCCTTGGGTCACAAACTGCCCACTCTGCTCTTTAAAACTCATTCAATACCAGCCAATTCTGGACCGAGTCTGAAAAGACTTTTAAAAACGTCTTTGGGAGTTAGGGAATGAGTTAATCTGACCCACCAAGCATTTACATTGCTGTGAGTACTGTACTACTTATTCATTTTATTTTAGAACATTTATATTTTAACCCTTTCGGGGACAGAGGTTACTACAGTGGACAGCTTATCATGTTATCAGGTTACAGGGTGCATGAAAGGGTTAATTATTATTGTACTATGTTTGTCCTGTATGTAATTCCAATTTAAAAAAAAAAAAAAAAAGAATTTCAACGTACTCACGTTAGATTATATGGCAGTATAACAAGCGCAACCCAACGGCGTACATAAACAGAGTGCGTCCAATTTAGGATCTTGACACTTCTCGCCGCTACAAATGCTGATTGGCTGTTAGGGGTCCACATGATTTTTCAGGCACCATCTTGCAGCTCTTCGCTCACCATTGCTACATTTATTTTGTGAATCTTTCACATTCTCCCTCTTCCTCATGCTGACAAAACACAGCATGGGTATCTTCGATGAAATGACTGCAAAATCTCCCCTTGCGGATGATGTCGTCGTCCGGGCATGTGATGTGGGCAATTCGAAACTGCCTTGCACCCCGCATTGTGCGTCCGTGTGTAGCCCCCACCCACTAAATACTGACAGGGGTACTATAAAAATTGTTTTAAGACGATAATGATTATAATTCATTCAATGAATTGACTTCTACAATGATTCAGAGGGACTGAGAGAAGCTGTTGTCATATTTATGAATGAAATTCAATAACATCCACCACTCATGTCCATGGAGAGCTAATTCTGTCTGCTTGCACCTGCAAATTACATCACCTGTGCCACGCGCAGCGTGGTGTTAATGCGTCTAAAATCAAGTCTATTTGTTTTTTTTCATTTTAAACAAAATTTGCACATATACTCGACAACAATCTTGGTGACTGGAAAGCCTCATGATGGGCAGCGCGGTCAACCAAATTCATCAAAACACTAAACTAGATTTGGACCGTCAGGAAAATAGAGATGCACCTGTTTTGTTTTGTTTTTTACATTGAGCACAGTCTACTTTCTGTCACCAAATTTGCAGCTGCACCGGAGGCGTGGCAGCTCCGTGCACCGCAATACCCAGTGAGGCGTAACACAGTACCACACACACTTGCCTATAATTGCCCCAGCACCAAAATGAAGTTTCACCCATTTTTACTCAAAGCGCACAGGCCCCAGTCTACCAAAATAGGGCCTCCTGACTTAAATCACATAAAAATAGATATGACTTTTTCCTCGGAATATGCCGTCTTTTGTTTTTCAGGTTAATACCTACCCACAAAAAGTTGGAATACTACGCGTTTGATTTATTTATTTGATTTATTTATTTTTTGCACTGTCCGAATATTTTGGGGAATGCTCAACGAACAGCACACAATGGAAGCCGCTTATGATGTTGTTTTTGCGAGTGTGAAAATGATTTAACCTTCATTCTCCCTCTTCCTCATGCTGACAAAACACAGCATGGGTATCTTCGATGAAATGACTGCAAAATCTCCCCTTGCGGATGACGTAGTCGTCCGGGCATGTGACGTGGGCAATTCGAAACTGCCTTGCACCCCTAATTTTGCATCCGTGTGTAGCCCCCACCCACTAAATACTGACAGGGGTACTATAAAAATAGTTTGAAGACATCACTCATGTCCATGGAGAGCTAATTCTGTCTGCTTGCACCTGCAAATTACATCACCTGTGCCACGCGGGGCGTGGTGTTAATGAGTCAAAAATCAAGGCTATTTGTTTTTTTCATTTCAAACAAAATTTGCACATGTACTAGACAACAATCTTGGTGCCTGGAAAGCCTCATGATGGGCAGCGCGGTCAACCAAATTCATCAAAACACTAAACTAGATTTGGACCGTCAGGAAAATAGAGATGCACCTGTTTTGTTTTGTTTTTTACATTGAGCACAGTCTACTTTCTGTCACCAAATTTGCAGCTGCACCGGAGGCGTGGCAGCTCCGTGCACCGCAATACCCAGTGAGGCGTAACACAGTACCACACACACTTGCCTATAATTGCCCCAGCACCAAAATGAAGTTTCACCCATTTTTACTCAAAGCGCACAGGCCCCAGTCTACCAAAATAGGGCCTCCTGACTTAAATCACATAAAAATAGATATGACTTTTTCCTCGGAATATGCCGTCTTTTGTTTTTCAGGTGAACCCCTGCCGACAAAAAGTTGGAATACTCTGCGTTTGATTTATTTATTTTATTTTTTTAATATTAACATTGAATTCACCTAATGATATGACTGAAAAAAATGCACTGTCCGAATATTTTGGGGAATGCTTTTCACCCCAGAAATATGCCTTCATTCAATTCAGATCGGATTCAAACTTTTTTTTCCGGGGAATATTAGACTTTTTAACGGATAAAAACAAAGAAGAAAACGCATCCTCTGTTGTGAACCCTTGAAGCAGACGTTTACTGGATGGGAAGCAAGTAACAAGAGGGGAGTCGGCATAGGTGGCGGTGAGGTCCATCTGGGAAACATCAGTCATACCAGCTACCCGAGAGAGTAGAAACGAAAAAAGCAGCATACTTACTCGCACAGCAAAACGCCATTCTCCAGAGCCGATCGGAAGTCTTTGCCCTTAAATGTTTTCTTGGTGACTGCCTGGGGGAAAAAAAGGAAGAGAAAAAAGTTAGGAGTGTACAAGTGCAGCTTGGGAAGAGGAGGTGCTGGTATGCGACTACAAGTGGGGGTGACGGTGGGGTGGAGAAGAAAGGTAGGATGTGGAGAACAGTAGGAGAGGAAGTCCGAGGTATTTCCTCTGGCGTGCCTACAGGGCGGCTTTGGGGCACAGCGGAGCAGCTTCAGGTGCTCCTGGAGGTGCTGTCGATCCTCTTTCAACCCAGTTTGGATTCCTAAGCCGCAAGTAAACGGAATGGAATGCTGCACAGTGTGCATCATGTCTTTTCGTCAAACCAGTTTCTACACCATTTATGCTGCTCAGCGTCGCAGACCGGCAGCCGAAATATTACTTGGCTTCGGGTGACAAACTCAAACCATTACTGAGTGGGAATTGAATATGCACTGCCTGACTGAAAGAAAGCCCAGCGAACTGCTACACCATCAGCGGCGAGGACATTTGACTTTATTCTTATATTATTATTAATTGCATTTTCCACCCCCCAAACGTTTTCTCTAAAAATAATAAAAGCTCTCTTACAATTTTGAAATATGACCTTTTCTTGGAATTGTTGTTTCTTGTTCCATGTGACATAACTTTGTTTCCCTTTTTATGGGACTTTATTTTCCTAACAGTAAAACTTGTTTCTCTTAATTACGAAAAATAAATTTTCTTTTGGCTGTTTTGTTGTATTTTTTAACGTGTTTAATTTTGACAAGTCATTGCACAACTGACTTAGCATTCATGACTTTATTCACATAATATAACAACTGCACGTAACGTTTATTCATGCAGCATCCATGCATCAAACTGACTTTAAGAGCAAGGCAGACGACAACTGAACTGTTCGCCAGTCAGCCGCAGGGCACATAGAGAAATGAACAACAATTCACTCTCACATTCGACACACCATCGCTTCGTGGGAACTGAAGGTGCCCAAGCTGCCTGCACACAAGTGAGACTAATGAACCACGACACCATCAGTGACATACTGTATGCATGTCACATTATGACCAGTCCGTGCACACGTGTACACACACACACACATTTCAGCATGCATGCATGCACACATCTACAAATGTATGCTCAGAACCACCTCTGTAATTAAGAAGATTTCTCATACCATCCACAGTCAAGATTTCACACACAAACACATGATTGGGGGTGGAAAGAGGTAACCAAGTGCCCACGTCACAGCGACTAACTTCATATCATCCACATGTAAAGATCTTCTTGCAGTTCCTTATGAATGCACTTTACGTGTGCCGATTGCCTGCAAGGACCCCAGCGAGCAAGTGCGTTATGTTAGGCCGTAGATGAGAGAAGCCGCATCCATTGGGTGGGAATCAAGTCGACTGTGTTCACTCCCACAACGGTGTATACGCCCACTTCTAACTGTGCCAATTCATGAAACAATGAGCCTTTTGCGCTTGTTATATTACAACACTATTTCGTAAATATTACTAATTTATTTATGTATGCTTGAGTCGGTTTTGAAATGCACATCTGTTTTGGGGTATCGACTAACAACGTCAAATGGAAACAGTTCAACTTTTTGGGGTAACATTTTTCTAAATATTCATCAGCATCACTTGATCCTCCAGCGTCTCTCTTGACAGTCAAAGAAAAGCAAAACAGGTCATAAACTGACTCTGCTTGGCTCAGGACGGACAGTGTGGTTGCCATTTTCATGATATTTTTAGGAGACTCTTTTTTTTTTTTTTTTATCGTTACAATACATATCAACTGCTGTGAGAGGGCTGCTTATTTTATTTCTTTTCATATATTCAAATTTTATTCTAGAGTGAAAGGAAGTCACATGGGCAGATGTGGTAGAAAAAAAAAATTAATTTTCAATCAATGTTCACATATGGTATATTCATTGCTACAATGCAAGGAGGCATGACAGGTAAGATACACTAGAAGAAGCAAGTTGAACAGGTTGCGCGCAACACATTGGTTGGTTTTGATGATTCCTCCGATTACAGCTTTTGTGTTGCATTCTCTCTCAAGGATACAAAGGCCTGAATGTTCGTCCGATCTACCGTCTTTCTTGTTTGGAGAGTGAACAAATTACTCGAGGATCCGATTTCTGTATACCGTGATGATTTTCAAACAAAACAAAAAAATGTGTTGTTCCACCTCTGAACACACCCTCTGTAACTTGAACGCGAATAAACACTTGCAAGCAACACGATTCAGGCTTTGACGGATGAAGAAGAGAAAAGCAAATGTTGAAAACAGGAAACAGATCGAAATATATTCGCACAGGCAATCAAATTAGTGTGTGTGTGTGTGTGTGTGTGTGTGTCTTTGTGTTTGTGTGTGACCATCTGAAATCCTGCCCCCTACTGTTCAATTTCAGCAAAAGCAGAAGATGCTTTTAACTCAAATTTTAAGCATTGCGAGAATTTTGCTTCAATATTCTGAGAAAAAAACAACTCACAATTTTAAGAATAAATTCAAAACATTACAAGCACTCCGAATATTACGAGAAAAAAAATGGTAATGTTTCAAGAGTAAATACAAAATATTCCAAGAAAGAAGAAATAGTATCATGAGGGTAAAGTTGCAATATTATAGAAGAATAACATATGTATGATTAAAAAAAAGGAAAGAAGTAATAGTGAGTCACAAACTTACAAGAAAATATGTTTTATGCGATAAAGTCAAATTACATGAAAACGTGAAAAGTTGAAAACATTGTACGGTAAAAAAGGAGAAACAAAGAAAAAATGGAAACATCCATCCATCCATCCATTTTCTAATCCGCTTTTTCTGACGAGGTTCGCGGCGTGCTGCAGCCTATCCCAGCTGTCTTCGAGCAGAACGCAGGGTACACCCTGGGCTGGTTGCCAGCCAGCTGCAGGGCACACATTAGATGTACAACCATCCGTGTTCACACTCACACCTAGGGACAATTTAAAGTGTTCCATTAACCTGCCATCCATGTTTTTAGAATGTGGGAGGAAAGCCAGGCAGGCACAGGGAGAACATGCAAACTGCACACAGTAAGGCCAGAGCGGGAATCCAACTCTGCACCTCTGCACTGTGAGGCAGACGTGCTAACCAGTCAACCACCGTGCCGCCCACGGAGGAAACAATAATAGCAAAATAATATTGTAACATAACAAACAACAAGGAATAAAGTTGCAATATGACAAAAAAAGTTCCCGTAGTTACATTGACAATAGTATGAGAAAAAAACAAATAGACTATCAATTGGTAGTATTAGGGGAAATAAAATCAACTTTCTCTTAAATCAAGAGATGATTTAAAAAAACATTGCATATTATCCTTATATACATACATTTTTCACATAACACAACGGTTTTTGTTAATTCATTTTGTGTGTGTATTGTGCTACTTCTCCCGAGTACTGTGTATGTCCCTCCCATGTAAAGTACACTCCTTCTGTAGCATTGTCGAATGAAAAGTAACAAAGGGTTAACTGAGCTGAAACAGGAGGGCCAGAGGGCTCACCCAAACACTTAACTTTTGTGCACGCTAATTGTTACCATTAGCAACATTTACCATCCACTCCAGCTTGGGTGTCAGACGTGTGAGATAAAAGGTCCTAACTGCAGCAACATTGCGCTGCTCTGCTTTGACGGGGGAGATTTAATAAGAACAGCAGCAGAGGTTTTTGAAATCCTTGCTGCAAAACCTCCAAAGCTTGTGCTCCCCTCAAGAATGTGCTGAATGAGCCTCGTGATGACTTCCCCCCCTGCCACACTTATGCCCACGACATGTTTAAGAGGTACTTTAGAGGATTCCTTCAAGTAAGAGTTAGTAACAATTGTTCGCCATCAAGGCCCTCACCGAAGATCCCAAATGTCAGTGACTGTTAAAACACAGTGGGTACAAATGCACAGCTTGAAATAATGGATTTGGGAGGCAACAGAGAAAGTCAAATGGAAACCTAGTGACTGGATCTTAGTTCTGGAAACGTCACATATTATATGTGTGTGTGTGTGTGTGTGTGTGTGTGTGTGTGTGTGTGTGTTTTTACAGTAAAATGTGACAATTTTACAGGGGAAAGAAGTCATACCAGTTGACAATACTGTACATACCTACCCACGGGTGACTTATTATTACTTGTGTGACATACTCCACAGTCTCCGCTTTGCTTCAATGGCCCAAGTCTCATCTTGGATAAAATGTCTCCTTACCGAGGAGCAACTACGACAGAATCCACTCCACTGTTGTTTGTTAGCGTGTCTGGCTCTGATGCAATCAACACGCCGCGGTTTTCGCAATTTGCTGCGGAACTCTGATAGCGACGGTCTCCACATCCAAGCGAGCCATTACCGTGCAGTGGAAAAGTGCCATTAAAACAACGCTAGTAGGTGCCATCTTCCCAATGATGACTCCGACGCCAAGGAAATGAATATTCATCCAGTCATCCATCCATTTTCTGTCCCGCTTAATCCTCACAAGGGTCGCGGGGGGTGCAGGAGCCTATCCCAGCCATCTTCGGGCAGTAGGCGGCGGACACCCTGAACCGGTTGCCAGCCAATCGCAGGGCACACAGAGACGAACAACCATCCACGCCCACACTCACACCTGGGGACAATTTAGAGTGTTCAATCGGCCTACCATGCATGTTATTGGAATGTGGGAGGAAACCGGAGTACCCGGAGAAAACCCACACAGGCCCGGGGAGAACATGCAAACTCTACACAGGGAGGCCGGAGGTGGAATTGAATCCGGTACCTCTGCACTGTGGACCACCGGGCCGCCCTACTAAATGAAAAATGAATACCAAGCAAAGGAAAAGCTTTGTCCATCCACTAGATGTCAGTACATGAGACATGCTGCTTCCTGTGTTCTGTCAGTGAGCCAATAACTTTATGTGGGCTGAGCACAAATAATCGCAGGAATTGTGTCAGTGACCACAACTAATGTTTATTCATGCGGGCAACTGAGGCGCACCACGCCCCCCACCATCCGCTCAATGTTCACAAAATCTTTTGTTCAAGAA